AGTGTCGGGGCAGGGGACAGCCCCGGCGCTCCTCCCGTTTCCCGTTCTCGTGGTTTATAACGGTGTGGGGCGATCGGCCCATCCGCCGTGAATTGCTCACAGGGGCGGCGGTGTCCTTGCGGTATCTTTCCTCCTTCACGTTTCTGTGGCACTCCGGTGAGCAGGAACTCTTTAAGGTGGAAAACAAAATAGCTCTGCTGTGGTGCTGAATCTCGCAGATGGAGTATGTCTCTGTGACATCTTTTTGGTATGGAAGCGGTTCGTAAAAATCGGGAGAAACTACACGTGACTGAAAAACTTCTATGTAAATAACTGCCTGTAATAATTACAATTCTGTATTTGAGAATACAGAGTCAATATTCTGCTGATGAATAGGTTGTTCAGTGTCTAGCTATTACCACGAATGACTTGCATAAGTGGTGTAACAAAGTATTTTTTGACTATAGTGGTAAGGACTAATCATTTTATTTAAAAGTATTTTATATTTTGAGTTGTATGAAATGCAACTTAATATGCATAATGCATTTGTAACTAATTTCTGCATTATGTATATTCTTCAAATTCAGTAACCAAAGCACCTGTTATTATATAGTGTTTTTCTCGTGTTTTAAAAGTGCCCTTGGTCTAATATGTTCAGCTCTGGCATACGCGAGTAGTCCTTCTCACAGAGTTTGATTTCTCACCATTTCATTTGTTTCAGAATCAACTTTTATGTAAACTTAAACTATTTTCTTAAGGATCTATGAGAGGAGCACTTTTAAAAGATACTTAGCATATACGTATTCTTAGTAACTTCCCACATTTATAGCTGAATGTGTGACATAAACCAAAACAAAACCAGAGGTGAATGAAAATTTTGTCTTGCCTAGTCCAAACCAGTGTCCTAGGTCTGATCAGAAGCAAGCTCAGTCCTCTATATAAAGCTGAGTCTATTTTGCAGAAGAATTAAAAGAAACTGTGGATGTGTTAGATCTTTCGTTTCGATCCTGTTCCAATGGCATAGTGTTTTACCCACATATGAATTACTGTTGCTCTATGCATGCGTAATGTTTCAGTTAATACCACCTCAGCTGCCTAAAGGTCTGATGCCATGCTTGTTGGCACTTTGATTGCTTTTTCGTACATTATTGCCCCTGCATTTGGGTTTGGATGTTACATGATCATGGTGGAAAGTAATTACAGAAGGTAAAAATCTTTGGTATATCCATTAAAGTAGTAGTTTCTTCATTTTTCTTCATTTTTACGCAACATTTGGCGGCAGTTTTTACCTTCAGCTGGGGGTTTTTGTCAGCAACTGAGGAGAGCAGTGGCTCAGAGGCATATGAGAGGCATAAATGATCTGAGTATTGATAGGCTCTTATCTGCAGGGTTACTGCTGAAATGAACAGATCGTTGCTGCATCCGATGGGATGTGGCAGGGTTTCATGTTACACTTGGTAATATTCTGCTTTAAATTCTAAATTTAACCCAATCTGTAAAATGGTTTTTGGAAGCTTCTAATCACATGCTGTTTCACTAAAATTAATAATACCTCTTTGTCCTTTTAAGATGAATGAAGAAGATACTTCCTATGAAGAGTGAAAGTACTTGATTCTGGGAAAACTCTTGAAGAACTTCTAACTTCAAACCTGGAGAAAAGTATGAAGGAACAATCCATCTGACTCTGTCAGCATCCACACAGAACGCAAAATGGCTCTTCAGAAAAAAAATGTTGCTGGTGTCTTGGAGGAGTGGTGTTTGGAGGAACCGCTGTTCAGTTGCAGACGACACCAGAATGTTAGGAAAAAACTGAGACTGATACGAATTATAGGGCTTCTTGTCAGTGTAGTGGCCATTAGTACTTTCTCTCTTTCATTTGGTGCCTTTTTCAAGATGGAACCACATAGCATGGTGTTGGCCAGCAGCCTAGATAGCCAAAAGCTGGTGCGTGGGCACCAAAGAACTCTGTTGGATTTCATGGAACAGAATGAAAACGGCACTCCAGACCCACACACTTCTATGAAGTACGAAGCTGAGCCTGACAATGCAACAGATGATCATGCCAAGGGAGAGTACCCCGAGGACCTTTTCTCTCTTGAGGAGAGAAGAAAGGGAGCAGTGATCCTCCATGTAATTGGAATGATTTACATGTTTATAGCCTTAGCCATAGTCTGCGATGAGTTCTTTGTTCCTTCCTTGACTGTCATCACTGAAAAACTGGCCATATCTGATGATGTGGCAGGGGCAACCTTCATGGCTGCTGGTGGGTCAGCCCCAGAACTCTTCACTTCTTTAATAGGAGTGTTTATATCCCACAGCAATGTTGGCATTGGTACAATAGTGGGATCTGCCGTGTTCAATATCCTGTTTGTTATTGGAATGTGTGCTTTATTTTCTAGAGAGATTTTGAACCTTACTTGGTGGCCACTCTTTCGAGATGTGTCCTTTTACATCATTGACTTGATCTTGCTAATCATCTTTTTTCTGGATAACTTGATCATGTGGTGGGAAAGCTTAACACTCCTGACAGCATATTTTTGCTATGTGACTTTCATGAAGTTCAATGTTCAAGTAGAAGAATGGGTGAAGAAATTTTTAAACAGGAACAAGGTTGAGAAGGTGACAACAGCAGATGCTGAAGGAAAGGTTGGTCTATTTTTAATTAACATGTATGTAATAATGTCCTTGTAAGTGCTGAGCCCTTCTATGTTATGAGGATCCTAATATAGTATAAAAAAGGTCCATATTTTGCTAAAAGGTCTTTTTGTTTAATCAGTCCAATAGGATTGAAAATATAAAACATGAGGTAGCCTTGTAGTAAATCAATAGCTTTTAACTCTAGAATGGTCCTAATCACACTGAAAGCAAGAAAAAATGCCAGCAAAAAGACATAAACCTTTACTCAGCGTTTTGGCACATCGATGAGGTCTGAGATACAGCTTCTATTTTTTTCCCTAAGCCTTTGGATTAAGTGGTAGCAATATCTGGGGCAGATCTTGGGACAAAATTTGGGTTTTTAAAGACTTTTAATGCACTTTCTTCTTCAAAAAAGCAAATCACTCAGAACAGTATACAAAGGCATTTTTAAACATGTTTTTCATCTACTGATGCTGATATACCATATTAACTTAGAGTTGTAATTAGTGGCAATTACATGAAAAGAATCTCTGGAAAAACAGTGACCACAATGGCAAAAGGCAGAGGTTCTCTGTTTAAGCAGGATGGTTTCCCAGACATGGTGTTTGCAACTAAGTAAACTAATTTTTGGCCTAATACCTGGTCACAAGGGGAGAAGGGAATTTATGCACAGAGGACTCGGTAAGTCTTCGGCAATTATTATCATCTTTTAAACAGCTCTCTTCTTAAAGCAGGCTATATTTGAGGGACTTACAAAGCTGAACCCATAAATACTTATGTATGTAGCAGTATGTTAATTGGATGTTTAATAGTGAAATTGAAATGTCTGGTTTCATATGACAATAGGATAATTCATCAGATAAAGTTTTATTACCTAGTAATTATTCAAGTATTGGGGAACTGTTCAATGTTTTGCTTCTTTTGTTTATCAGCCCTGCATAAGCGCTATAGAAGAGACACAATCCACTGATACAAGTGTACAGGAATGTAAACAGAAGAATAGAGAGAGGGAGCACCTGTAATTATAGACAGGGGCTACCTGCCTGTGACTCACAGAAAACTGATGATTCTGCCTATATGCCTAACTTTGAAGAGAGAGATTGATATTTTAGGAGTACAGACAGGTGCTTTCAGTTTAGGACAAGCCACAAAAAAGTCCACCAAAAATAAAACTGGAAAAGTCTCCGTTTTTTAATTTTCTAACAAAGTTTAACACCTATAGACTTAACTTGTAAATTTATCTTTTCCTTTTTGTTCTATTACTTTTCCAAAATCAGAATGCTCATCTTCATCTTCCTCAAAATGTGTAATTGGGATTTTATAAGTAAATGAAAAGAAGGGTCAACACCAATGAAGTATTTGTCCTAATGAATAAAGGGCTTCTTTAACTACATTAGTTGGTTGCTAAATAATGTGTTATTTCACAGTGCATTGTAAGTGCTTTGACAGTTTGTGCTAAATGTGTGCAATGATAGGAAGAGACTATGGTATATGAAGCAACCATTTAGTGCACCTTCATCTGTCCATAAACTGGATTTGAAGGACATGTGAGTCTGTAACTGGTCTTAAACCAGTCAATATGAAAAGCAACTGCCTTGGGTTGTCCAGGCTATAGGGTGGAATGGAGCAGCTTTATACCATGGTAAGCGCTCAATTATTTTCAACTGGATAGAAGAATAAATAATTTGTAAGGCATATTGAACATAATAAATGTTTAATATATGCTAGATGGACTTGATTTTAAAAAGATACCTTTTGGAGTACTGATTTATTGTTTCTTTTTCTTATTAATTACTTGTTCTTAGAGTGTATTCATATTATAGATGCACAGAATTGAGATAGGGAGTTAAAATCAGAGAACTGGGTACTTTTCCTTAAAACACAAGCTTTGCATCGTATGTTTCATGAAGATATTTTTCATAAATTAACTTGAAATTAATAAAAATGATAAAATAATGTATTTGTAAATCATTGGGGGGTAGAGGGGGATGAAAGAGATGCTCTAATTTTGTTGCAGTTTAGCTAATATGTATTTTCTGCTTCCTGGGGAAAATAGCTTCTGAAGATATCAGACCATGTATTTCTTCTCTGAGCCATGCTTTAAAGACAGATTTTTGAATATTCAGCTAACACACTGAAATTATAACTCATTAGGATTTATTTTACTATTCAGCTAACGGCATTTAGCAGGATGAGTGATACTTTCTGATACCAAGGATGTCACAGATTTTGTTCTTCAGAAATAGTCTCACTGAAGTTGTGTTCACTTATTTACTGTTATTAAAGAATTGATTTTCTTGCTTTTAAAATAAAAAAAAACCCAAAGAAGAAAGAAAAACTATGACATGTAATCCCAAGCCTGATAGAAAGGCCTAGGATTTTCAATTTGAAAGTTACTGCTTAAAGAAAAGGATAATATGTTTTGTAGTCTGAGATGTGGTGCCTAGTAGTAAATGTCATGCACGTAGGTGCTTATTTTCCTAACCAGTGGGGATTATAAGTATTGCAGAAGTGATTTTCCTTTTGGTGGCAAAGGATGTGTCATTTCTACAGTGTTAATCTGTTAGCCTAGATTGCTTCCAGTCATTAAGAGTGTGCTATGTCAATGCAAAATAAAATTATATATAATCAAATTAGTATCTCAAATGCCTAATTTGCTGTCTCATTTGTTTTCAATGGAAACGTCTTCACACCTCCCCCCCCCCCCCCCCCCCCACTGGGGACGAAAAAGCCAGGCAGCTCTCTGGAATCGGTGGGTTAGGCTGCCTTGAAAGCACTTTATTTCAGGAGCGTATAGAAAATTCTCTTCTTTCCTCTAACCCATACTCCTTCTGCCTATCTGTTGTTAATTCTGCTGTTGCCAAACTGGCAAGTGTTCTGCTAAAAAAACGTGCCTACCATATTTAAGACTTTGTGTTGTAATCTGAAAACAGCTAAACAACGTTGAGAGATCTAAATAAGGCATCATAAAGCTGGATAGTTGAAGGGTTAGGTGTCTTACTAGCAAGTTAGTATCAAAGAGTAAAAATCTGATCAGATGAAAAATGTCTTCAGATACTAAAATGTATTTTGATGTTAATTTTAGTACTTTTTTATCAGTCATCTTGAAAGACTGAAGAAAATTTTACATTCTCAAAAAGACATTCCTCATGAAAAAAGGGTCTTAGATATGAAATTATTTTTCTGCTTAGCTGTCATTTGTTCTAGATGTATTCATTGGGTTGCTAGAATGCATATGTATCTCTAGATGTGTTTTAGATTCCTTTATCTCTTCCCCGTTTTTTAAGAATTAAAGCACTTTTTTGTGCTAGAAGACTGAATATTCAAACAATTGCTTTTTTGAATCTTATATTCTTCAGTGTGTCAGTTAGTTGTAGAAATGTGAATGCAGACAGAGTAACCTATATGAATTTCATTGTGCTCTTTATTTTCCTTCACAAGCTTTCAAAGTACAGTCTGGGTTCTTAAAGCATACAGGTTGAGAAAATCTGGTAGCTTGAATTTTGGCAACAATTTGGTGACACATGAGAACAGACTACAAGTTTTTTGCATTTAAGGGTTCATGGGGTGCACTGGCAAGGTCGTGTTTGAACTGTGAATAGTCTCATGCCCTGTCTCGACCTCAGGGAAACCTGATGGCAGTCTGATGCTGATGAGCTACAGAGATCGCTGTGACAAGGGTGGAAAAAGGGAGGAAAGATGAAAAAGCAAGACAGCATGAAAAGACAGAATAAAAACCAGATGGCTAAGTTCTACAGTGTAAGGTGGTGTATGGCATATGCAGACCAAGATGGATCTCTGACAAGTGACACTGAGCCCTGTGGATTGCCCTGAATGGGCCCTGCAGTAGGTAGTGTGATCCTACCACCAGGTACCTCCAAAAATTCCTTCTGGCCTAACTTATTCTGTGGTGTGTTTTTTAGGTTTTATGTAGTTATCCTGCAAAGAACAGATGAATTTTTGGGACTGGGGAGGAAACTGATATTAAGTCTACATCTTCCTGAGTTGAGTGAAGGTGTTTAAAAACAGAAGCTTGACAATGAGTATAATGGACAGGAAGAGGAAAATGAAAAAAGCTGACGTACAAAGTTCTTAACAGTAAGACGACATTCTGCTAAGGTTTCAGTCTTTTCTTTGTAGTCTGTAATGGTGAAGGCATGTTGAATATATTAGACCATGGTAAAACATCATGTGAAATTACATTTCAGTTTTTAAGTACTTTTTTTTTTTTTTGTAATGTAGCGTGGAGATCATTGCAGAAATACTTGAATACGATCACTCAGTAAATAACTCAAAACAGTTCTGTTTGGCAACTAGGAGAACAGAATGTGGGTGGCCCAGGGATATTGTGCAATGACATCTGTTTCACTGACAGTACAATTTTAGATAAATAACTTATGGTATATACAAGACAGTTACAGTGTTCTACATTTACAGAGAACTGCATTTGGAAAATGAGCTATTTTTACCAACAAGACATAGTTTGACATTATTTTATTGCCAATTTTGTTGTCGTAAGAAACTTGAATAGCTTGTGTGTGATGTTTTAAGATCTATACTGATCTCAAGTGTTACCACATTGTATTTAATGGCAGTATTTGCATTGTAAAGGAAAGATTGTTAACAGTGTTTTTAGGTACTTCTCTACTTGGTGGCTGTATTAACACTGCGCACACACACTCAGTTATTATTTATGATCTAATATGTGTTTGTTTAAGGAAAAACACAAATTACCTGCATGCATACAGGAAAATCTGGAAATTGCAAAAGGTCTGAGTTTGTAGCTGGTTTGAAGTCCTGAACAGTTCTTTTCCAGGGCTTCTTAATGTTGAATCCACAGACTCAGAAACTGTAACTCTATCTATAGAATAAACTTTCTTCTCTCGCCACCACCAAAAGACATTTTAAAGTGGTGTTTCATAGTTCATGGGGAGATCGAAGTATTATTCTACAGGTATTTCACAGTTGGTCTACTTGTGCAAGGATGTGTGTGAATGTAGAGCTGTGAG